TTCCCTTCTTGCCACTGAAAGAAACGTGAACACGGGTGTGAACAGGGCCTTTTCTGATCTCGGCACCGTGTGGGAAGTGCTATCAATTCTCTATGAATGTAAATACTGGGGCTCTGAGATTTCCCAAACATACCGTAGGAAGCACTCCTCCACTAATAAATAGACCTGTATGCCTCTATCACAATGATTTCATGATCAAAACATCAGAATGGCATAAAATCAACCTTCCTACTTTCCTTTAAAAGGTCTCATAATCTGAAATAGAAGTTAGCTGAAGTCTCTTTGGCCAAGAGTATGTGATTTTGTTAGATGTCAACATATCCTGGACTGATACAGTCTCAAGGAAAATGGGTTTACAAATAGCTTCAACAAATCAAGAGAGCGTGACTGAGAGGTGTTCAACCACACAGAGAGGTGTTAAGTCAAACCCAGTGCCAGGCGGGGAGCACAAGACGGCACTGGCGGGTTCTGTTGCACACAGGGGCCCTCTGACCTGTTAAATCAGATGCTCTGACTCCCTTCTGCCCGAGTGACTGGTCTGAACTGGAGACATAAGCAGAGGCAATCTCCTTCCAGCACAATCTCTCACTTACTGGCTTAAACCACCTTTTATAATACGGCTCAAAAGGTGTTTTCTTCTTTTTCCAGGAAACTCCAAAATTTGTCGCCTTTTTTACAAAAACGTTTCCTTCCCTCGGCTATACAACCAGTGCCCGTCTTATTTTCCCTTCTGACTGACAGTTTGGTTCCAGAAAACGGAGTAAGTGCTGGTGGCGCTTTGTTGAAGCACTCAGCTGCGAATGAAAAAGAAGCAGACAGAACCACCCAGCGGCTACACGGAGAAAGGCCTACTGATCTGGGCCTGTGAAGGTCAAAACCAAACTCATTGCTGTTACCCCAGAGGACAGAGTAGAACTACTTGTAAGGTGCCCCAGGCTGTAAATCTTTTCAAAAGCAGACTGCCACACCTTTATCCTTTGGAGCAGAGCTCTAACCACTGCACCAGGAAGCCTCCTTCCAGTAAAGAATACAGCCTAGGCAAACCTAGAAGGAGGCTCGGTGGCCCATGTCAATAAATGCAAATGCATGTTAGATGGGAAAGCATAAAACCGTTTCCTGTCAGTGGTTTTTGGGGAGGGTGCCGAATCAATCAATACGAGGCTCAAAGCTTCCAAAACTGAAATCAGAGACATGGTACAAAAGAATCAGTGACACAATGTGAACACACGCACTTGAGAAAATGCAATCATGCCCCATTCTGCAGACAACCCCTTTGAAATTTCAGAATCTAGTTGTGGACTTCCCTAAATACAATTATACTCACAAATTGCCAACCATGTTGTATCAGAGGAAAATACTGATAGCATAAAAAGACTCCCTTGACACCAGACACAACACCACGGCCCATCCATTCTGAGACACAGTCCGAAATACTACTAACAGCATTATTTATCTGGTCCCCTTGCATGGAGTAAATGTTACCAGGATTACTCACAAGGACTGAAAACACGAGTGTTCCAGCAATGTCATTCACTGAGCAATGGTAGGTGACCCTGCAAAACCAGTTTGGCACAAAAGTGCGAGTTCACATGGAGACAAGTGACATCTGTTGTCTGCAATCCTCCTGCTAATGCCTTTCCCATTGCTAGGTGAGAGGAACCAATGATTTGAATGAAATTGGTTCTTGGTTGTTTCATTTACTCGAATGGAGAGACTACTTGCTTCTAATGTTTGGTTTAATATGTCCAAAAAGACACTGCCACTGAGTCTATTCTCACGCTGAACGACCCTCTATGGGGCTCCAAAGCTGTACAAAATCTTTACTGGGAGGCCATGGCCTTCTTTTCTCGGGCAGAGTGAGTAGCGGGAGGAGCCTGAAGTCTCACTCTCAGAACCAGCCCCAGGGCTCCTTTCAAGCGAGCTGGCCTCCTCATGAGCGTTAGTCAAAGAAGGTGACACTTCAGCTAGCTCTGGCCTATGATCACTTGGAAGAGTTCTTGGCAGGTTCCACAAGACAGTCTTCCCTGAAGTACAAGGCCAAACAAAACTAACGGATGAAATCACTACTTCTTGAAGAAATTAAATAATCAGCCTAATTTTCACAAGTGATCTCAATATTTTGTTCTAAAGAATCCAAAGCGCCAAGGTGTGCACTCTCAAGACAAGCAGAACATCTGGACAGTGATATATATATGCTCCTTAATCTTTAGATCCGTACTCCATCAAAAGTAAGAGCTGGTGATGGGTGCAGCTCAGTTGGTTCTGACTCATGGCGTCACCACGTACGATAGAAGGAAATGTTGTCTGGTGCTGCGCCATCTTCACCATCCTTACTGCATTGAAACCCAGCGCTGCTGCAGTCAGTGTGTCTGCCCAGCTTCGGTATATGGGGAAACGTTTCTGCTAGGACACAGCCAAGAATCTCCACCCGCTCCCTCCCTGCAGTTCAGGACGTGCGTGCGGGGTCAGGTGAGTCTTTCCTGGGAAGGGTGGCCTCGGTTTGGTAGGGTACTTAGAAGCACCCGGGCCTGTACCCCATGCACGGCACCTTCCTCTCAGTTGTGGCAACAGAAATGCTTGCAGACACTGCCAAATGTCCCATGGTGAGCAAAGCGGTCCCTGAATGAGTCCCTCTGCTATAGTTCAAAAGCTTAAAACGGTGCTTTAACAGTGTTTTAGAAATGGCCACAGTTGACAACTTCAAAGATTTTCAAAGGTTCTCCTCAAATAACCCAATGAGCAATTGAGTCTTCTCATAGTCAATGATTTTTGTCCAAATGTTTCTTCATCAATATTTACATATGCATATACTTCAAAGGAGAAGGCTTCGAAAAGTTCATGGGAAAAAAGAACTAAGAGATAATGGACTTTTTGCATGGACTTTTTGAAGCCCTCCCTTGTGGTGCAGTGAATTATGAAATATGGCTTTTCTAGCCATAGCCTTTGAAACTTCCACCAAAGGATGGGCTGGGGGCACACAGATAGGTGTACTTCCTCTTTTCCTGATGCGTCAGGGTAAGAGGTTGAGGAGGAGGCTAATAGATGCAGATGTGATGCAGATGTTCACAGGCTTGTTGGCAGGATTAACTGTGTCTTAAGTATTTCTGATCCTCAATTGTAACCTGCTACTTGTGAGCATGGTCTGTCAGTCCTGTGTGGCCATTGTATCAAACCCAGCTGAGATGTCCAGACTGCCCTGGGAGGGAGGGTGGCAGAAGGGATGAAAATGCTGGCAGGATAGGGGAACGACTGGCCTAGGCCTCATCAAAACGAGCCGGAGGCTGATTATTTCGATCCCCCTTGCCCCTTAGGAAATCAAAGGAGGTGGGAAGTTGCCCGCGCTCCATTTTCACACCCCTTGTAAACACTTCCTGACACTGCATAAGTGTTTTCAGTATATAAGAGCCCTTGGTTCAGTGGTTAAAACGCTCAACTCTGAACCCATTGACCTGAACCCACCCACCAGTGTAGAGGAGAAAGACGTGGTAGTCTGGTCTGTGAAGACCTGGGGAAGCGCAACTGTCCGTCAGGGTCGATCGCTGTGGGTTGGAAGGGACTCGGCACCGGGTATGTTTCACCGCCACATGGTCTGCTGTGAGACACAAGACAACTATTGCTAAAACGCAGCACAACAGTAAGAAACAGGTGAGCCTGCAAGGCACCCAAGAGTGTTCAAGGAACGTTCCCAAACGTCAGCCCCATCCGGGTTCTGCAGTAGTTCCTGTTCTAATCTGCTTTCCACAGTTTATCACACACAACGCAGTGCACAATTTAGCTCAATCCTTCCCTCTCCTTTTCTGTGAACTCAGGAATGGATAAGAGACGGTCAACAGAGCACAGAGGTGTCTCAGGCTTCAGAAATGAAAGATTTGCCCCACGTTTACAATAATTTCTGGTTATTCTCCTTCAACCTTTTTTGCCTGTCCCCCCGCTTACACCCCCCCCCCCCCACACACACACCCAGTTATTCAGGGAAGCAAGAGTGCTAAGGTCTGACAGCAGAGTTCCACCACTGGGCCAGGAGCCATGGGTGACACAGTGACATAATGGGTGTTAACCCAAAGTCAGTGGTTCAAATCCACCCAAGGGCGACTGCAAAGCAAGGCCCAGATAGCGCCTTCAAAAAGGTCAGAGCCACCAAACACTCCATGTGGAGTTCTACCTTAAAACACAGAGTCACCGTGAGCTAGAATTGATTCCAGGGTGACTGGCTTGGCTGCATTTCTGGCCTGGGTGTAGTCTCCTGCAGTGAAATCTAAGAATTCACTGGCAGGGCTAATGGTCAGTCTTCAGACAAAAAGCACAAGTCTAGTGGCATACATTGTAGCAGCTCGTGAACTCACCTCGCAAGAGCAACCCCTGGAACAGCACAGACCTTCCCTGTGCGGTCCGAGACTATAAATCTTTACGGGAGAAGAGTCTCTTCTTTCTCCTGCCGAGTAGCTGGTGGTTTCAAACTGCTGACACTGTAGTGAGCAGCTGAACGTATAACCCCTATGCCCCAGTGCTCACCTAACAATGTTCTCAGAGAGGAGAAACAACGGATATGACGTAGTCCTTTCACCCAAACATGATTACACAACTGGGGACTGGAGACCCTTCTGGGACCAATGAGACTACGAAAATGCTGCTTGGGCTCTTTATACTAATAAACAACACATAGTCCTGTTTTATTTGCAAAAATAATTAGCAACAGCTGCTACTTACACGGAATTTTTGACAGAAAATATATTACACATTGAACCCAAGTATTTCAGGACTTGAAGGGCCCGACACCACATGAAGTAGCATTCGGCCTTTTTATGGTTTTGTTTTAATAAGGGTAACAATTAACTTCTACATACTTTTATCCAATTTAAAAAGAAAGGCTATCAATTAACGTTGACATTCTTTTATAATCTTTTTAAAAAAACTTTCCTCAGAGGACACAGCTGGACACATCTGTCAACCTCGCATCAATGAAGCGGCTGAGAGACATAATGCTTTCACAGAGCACTTACATGTGAGGGCTCAGTTCATAGAAGTTTCTGTTCCGGTACTCCTCCACTTTCTCTGGGGAGTAAATGGGCAATGGCCGGTAGGGGTTCACGGAGATGACCACACTTCCAATGTAGGTCTGTAAGTAAAGCAAAACAACCATTAGTATGTAACACGCTAAACTTCAGTATTATATCATCCTTTGAAAAGCAACACTCTTTACTATTTGGCCACTGGCCTTATATTTTTAAAGAAAGTTTTACATCTCTGAAGAGAGATGGTCTATGTCTTGGTTATCTAGAGCTGCTGTTTTAGAATATCACAAGTCGATGGCTTTAACATGCAGAAATATATTATTTTATATTAATTTACCCACTGCCATCAAGTAGATTCAGACTCATATTGACCCAATATGGTGTTTCTGAGATTGTAAGTTTTTTTTTTCAAAACAGTTTTATTGGCTCATAATTTACATATCATACAATTCAATCACTTAATCATATCAAAGGGCATCGTATAGTCACCACCACATCAATCTTAGAGCAACCCCACCCATGGTTAAATCGCCTTTAACATGAGTTGTGCAATCACAGTCCATTCTAGCGCTCTCTCCCCACTCCTGCCTTCAGTCTTTACTCCTGAAATCTCATTTCCCTCCCTATCGCCTCCACCCCGGCCCCACTACTCCCTCTATCCCCTTGTATCAGTTATTATTATGTACCCACTCCTGTGCTTCCCAGTCGGGAGACCCAACAGAAAAGTATCAAAAACAAATCACACGAAGGATAAAATCTTAATAGTATAATGACAAAATATGAATAATACGTAAGAAGGAAAAGATGCCCAACAACACTCAGATTGTAAGTCTTTACAGGAACAAACAGCCTCATCTTTCTTTGTGGTGGGGGTGAGCCCGTGGCCTTGAGGTTAGCAGCCCAGTGACTGGACCCCGGGGCTCCTCTCAGGTGAAAAGGCTCCCATTCCCTGTTCTCTACGACAGCGAGCACTCTCTCCACTCCCGAGGGAAGTCCCGCTTTCTCTGGAGTGACTTGGATCTCATCCCCAACCCCCCACCCTATTTCTGTTTTTTCTGGATTGTTTTTATAACTTCATTTATATCTCAAAGGAGATTGATTTAAGATTCAGACACACCTGGCACTCATCCTGCCCCACTAAGTAACAAAGACAACCCGTTCTGAAGTGGCTACGCAGGAAGAAACAAACCCACTGCCGTAGAGTTCATTCCAATTCCCAGAGATCCTAAAAGGCAGAGCAGAACTGCCCCTGCGGGCTTCCAGAATGCTAACTCTTTACGGGAGAAGAAAGCCTCATCTGTCTTCCTGGAAGCAGCTAGCAGCTTCAAACTGCTGACCTTCCAGTTAGCGCCAAGCACAGCCCACTAAGGCCCAAGGCCTCCTCACACAGGCATAAAACGGAATCCAAACGCACTGCCGTTGAGTCATTTCTGCTCATAGAGACCCAGTAGAAGAGGGTAGAATTAGTTCCATGGGTTTCCTAAATTATAACTATAATTACTTCCTAAATTATAGCTAAAGATGAGTAGAAAGCCTCACCTTTCTCTCAAAGAGCAACTGGTGGTTTTGAGCTGCTAGCCTGGAGGTTAGAAGCCCAACTTGCAACCCACTATGCCACCAGGGATCCTTACACAGGCATAGACGTTACCATTTAGAACACATATTTTTGAGGAATACAGTTCAATTGATAACATTCTACCTATTGCCCTCTCCCCTCCCCCCACCCACCAACAAATAGATGTCATGACCTTGCCACAAGCAAATCTTGCATGTGAACCAAGCCACACCACCTTTTGTTTCCTACTTTGCTAGAGGGTGTGTGGTAAGTCACCATCCTTTGTAGGGCCTACAGGCTGCTTCTAGCACCCATCGGGTCACCTGGAAAACAAAGTTCCTGACTGAGCTTTGGCACAAGCAAAAAGAGCTGTGGTGACTTTTGGACATTTTTGGCTCTGGTTCTGGACCCAGCATCTGACGTGCCTCTGCCTGACCTTCAGATCTGGGACGGAGCACACCCTCCACCGCACAAGACAGTTCCTCAATGTTGGGAGACTTTATCGGCGGGCTGTTGCAGGGAATCGCAGAACCTTCGGCTATGAGGGGAAATACTCAAGGAAGGAATGGGAGGGGTGGAGGGAAGTGGAGCCAAATACCAACGTGGAAGAATGGGGCATTTGGGACCTCTTCAATCTCCAACTCCTTGGGACTAGTCTGGCATTAATTCAACGGAAGAAGCTATAACCACACCATGTCATGTTACTACAGCTGCACATCACAGTACAGTGGGAGAACAAAGACAACGTAGGTACTTCTACTACAAGTGGGACAGGCTGGAGGGAATGAGGAGACAAAAGGCACACAGTAAGTCCAAAGCCTGTACCTACAACAGTTTACATTAGCTCTCAAGACTTGGGAATTATCATGTTTTCTGAGACCATATGGACAAGGGACCGTCCCCCAAACTCTGGGTAATCCCACGCTCTCTGAATTCTGGATGGCAGCCCCTAAGCCCCAGACTTCCGCTCTGTCTTACAAGCCTACGGGGACAGCAACTCTGCTGCCTGGGCTCTGGGCGGGCCCAGGCTCAAAATCCATCTGAGTGACAACCCCACCCTCTTGGCCCTGAGCCCAAGCAGAAAATCCCCTCATGCGCCTGCCCTTTAGGAATGGCTATCCCACCTCCTCAGCTTTGGGTGCCAACCCCATCGCTGGCACATCTTGGTGGCTGTCCCACATTATGAAACCAAGTGGTCCAAGATCGGACTCTCTGGAATCTAGGGGCTGCCCCTGCGCCTGCTGACGGGTCTGTTCCCCTCCACACTGCTCCAAGGATGGCCCTTTTATTTTCTTGGAGGACCACAAGGTATTGCTCTGGCCTGTTTCCTGGCCATGGAATTCCAGGGAGCAGTCTCCTTGCCTTTTCTCTTAAAGGGGTGGGTTTCCTACAGTAGTAGCTGGTGAGAGCCAGCAGTCGGGGGCTTAATCCCCTTTTAATGTAACACTGTGTGGCCATGTCCCCGGTGAAAATTCCAGACATGCGTCGTCTGTACAACAGAACTGTCCAAAACTTTAAGGGTTTTGTTCTCACTTCACACAGTTCATTTTTACATCTAGCTCTTTGCGCTCACACTGAACTATAAGCGGGAAGGAGAAACCATGTGGCTCCATTAAGATTTTGCTTAGAACTTTCTCAACCCTAAGACCCCAATTCATCACTTACAAGTTGTACCTTCCACCAAACATATGAACGTCATTCTAACAAGTGCTCTGCCACTGCATAAAAAGCACTGTTTCCTCCATTGTCCAGTCTTACGCTACACGTTTTCTTCTGAGACCTCACCAGAAGTGTAGCCGTGTTGTTGTTAGGTGCCACCAGTCGGTGCTAATTCATAGTGACCTTACGGACAACAGAATGCAATATTGCCGAATCCTGCACCATCCTCATAACTGCTGGGATAGCGGATAGACATGCATTGGCATCTACCTCTCTAAAGGCAACAGCAGAATGTCTTGAGACAGTGCCGCGGGCTTCCAGGCCCAGGGAACCAGGCAATTACAGTAAGTATGCCAAACCACAGAGCAAGAAAGTTGAATGCCTTCAGATGGCTGACTTCCTGGCAGAGTGGGGTGCCTCCAGGCACTTTATTGCAGAGTTAAAGAACTTTCAAACACTTGCCCATGCAGGGCATAAGCCAGGTCAAGGGGCCAGGGGCCAAAAAGAAGCCTACAAGCAGCTATGGCTATGCTGGTTGAAGAACTGTATCCTGAAAAGTTCTTAATCCAGAGTAGCAGTCTGCTACTTCCCAAATAAACCCTACAATCAGAAGAGTATTGTCTGTAAATTCTGTGTGGCCACTGCAATAAATTATCAATCCAGCATAAAAGCAGAGGATGTGTGGAAAGAATGGCTGGTGTCAGAAGTGGCGAAAGAGAGAAGCTAAGTCTGAGCACCTCTGCACCGGAATCGCACTTGGGTTGCTGATACTGATAATGATTCTCTCCATATAGTGAATTTAGAAGAGGTCAAACCACTCCAACACCCCGGCGCCACTTTTACATAAAGACTAATCCCAACAAATATGCACAAAGGAACTTCAAAACGTTTGAGAGAAAATGGAATTTTAAGCTAATAGGACTTTCTGAAGTCTCCTTCCTCAAATGTAGTAAAACTACACGAGAGGGCTCAAAGACACATCAGTGTGCCAAGTTGGTCCTTGACAGGACCTCCAGTTTCAGGTGCGATATACTCGAGGATGTGATTTGGCCTGCATGGATTTATTTCCATTTTCTTCAACATCAAGAGCTGAGGATCCCTGGCGGCTGAGAGGGGACGAGCTGGGCTGTGACCCACAAGGTCTGCAGTTCGGTCTCAACCGGTCACCCCTGTCCTTGTTCTGGCTGATGACATTGAGGTTCCCCATTTCTTTCCACAGATGTGGCGAAGTCCACACAAATGTTATTGAAAAGGATTACTGCAATGAATACGTCATTGGTCTTGCAAAATGAGAGCAGGGGATTTCCTGTGCAGTTTCTATCATTGGATTTCCAAGTGTCAATACTTCTGTGTTTCTAACCTTTGCATTCCAAACCCCAAGAGTTTTATCAATGCAACTTGATAACATATTTGATCCATTTCAGACTACAGGAGTTGACAGGATTTTTCAGTTCTTCATCTTTGATTTCAGTAGGTGATCCATAAACTTGAGTAACAGCAGATTAACTGGCGGCCTTCTTGCAATTATGTGGATAGTATGCTATCACCAACAGATAAGAAATCAAATGACATATTACACTGGGCAAATCTGCTGCAGGAGGCCTCTTGAAAGTGTTGAAAACCGAAGAAGCCACTTTAAGAACTACACTGCGCCTGACCCACACCATGGTCCTCTCCAGCTCCTCAAGTGCACGTGACAGCTGGGCAAGGAGCAAGGAGACCGCAAATGGCCTGCTGTGTTTCAGTGATGCTATTGGTGATAGAACGAATACTGAAAGTACCGTGGTCAGAGAATACTCCTTAGAAGCCAGGGAGGCCTGATTTTGCCTCATGTACTGCTTCTAGTCCCTGGAAAGGGACATCAGGCTTGGAGTGTAGAGGGTCATTGAA